ATCCCATGGGTGTGTCTCTCCTCTCCTTGTCTGACAAGCTTAGAAGCATATTTAATATAAATCATTTTGTATGGATACAGTAAGAAATATCTTAAACTTATAGAATTGCCCTCCTAGGGCCATCTCGATCTCAGACTACAGTTCTCAGGCCAGATAGTCTTTCCCACCCCTAGCAGGATCCTAGTCTCCTTGTTACTTTTGGATCATGACAGCATTTGTCTATGATCAATCTCTTAACTTATAGTTAAGAATCTTGGCATTTTGGCCTGGCCCATTTCTATGCCAGGGTAGCTCACCGCTTGCCCTGGGTCCATTCAGTCCCTCATCGGGACCCTGCTTTTGGGGTGTTAGGAACTAAGGGCAACAGAGGCTTAAGTCGAGAAAGCAGATGCCCGGGAGTGAATAATATTCAGAGTCAATCAAATCCTAAGTTACAAAGCATAGTGTTAACGGTCTTCCTGTATCATACAAAAAAGGGCATTGCTTTAAAGTAAACTATTCATAAGGTATAAGGAGAGGAGAAAGGCAATATTTCACTTATACATATGATAGCACAGCGGTAGGGCGTTCGCCTTACAAGCGGCCAACATGGCTGACCCGAGTTCGATTCCTCCGCCCCTCTCGGAGAGCCCCGCAAGCTACCGAGAGTATTTGATATGCCAAACACAGTAACAACAAAGTCTCCAATGGAGACATTACTGGGTCCGCTCGAGCAAATCGACGATCAATGGGAGGGCCTTTACCTTTACCTTTTACATATAAAATCATAGATTTCTGAGGAATCTAACCTTATAAATTAACAGAGTCTGATTAGGGGGAAAGCTGATTAACAGGTTGGGGAGGGGAGTATAGGGAAGAATGTTTACAGATAAACACAATGGAATGGAAGTGCCTCAGGAGCACTGTAATGGGTGTAACCAGATAAACCGAAGCTCCTTGTGGAGAAAGGACAAAGCATTGTCATCCTACAAATAACTTTCTAGTTGAACTTTCTCATAAGCTAGACTAATACATTAGATAACTAAATACAATTAGATACAGTTAGAATTCTTTATTAATTATTATGTTACCCTTCTCATTTTTATTGGTCCTGGACCAAGATAACCTCATGATTAATCACTTGGAATATGACTAAGAATGGTTTTTAACCTCACTCTATGTTCACACCGCTAACTTAATAAACTTGAGTTAGTAATGAAGAGCTATTTTACTGCTTAACTGTTTGTTTGTGTTTTTGTAAGAAATTCATAAATAATTCATTTAGTGGTCTTTACTATTATACCACAGCCCCTGCCCTTCTTTTTTATCTGAAAATAATTACTAGCACCCGTGGTACTACTTAACTAAAAAAACAGGAAATCCCTCTTTATAAATCAATGTTTGAAAGTTTGAAAATTGTCTTTGTTTCATAATATTAAATTTGCTGAAATTCATCCCTGAATTGGTTTGCATTGGGTTTCATTTTAGGTAATCCAAACTTTCACTGATGGACTCCCTGGAAATTTATGTGACAAAACTTCATTGTGTTTGTGTTATTTAAGTGAAATATTTCTCTAACTATGAAATGGGAGCAACTTCTTGTCTTGTCTGAAAGATATTTCCCTGAATTACTTTATATTACAAAATCATCTTCAAAACAGACAGCCACAGATATTTTAAGGCTCAGGAAATCAGGAAGGTTTATTCACATTAAAGTGCTAAAAGACCATTGCTTTCCAGCTCATTTCCAGTTCTCAGGCTTACTCACGCTGAGTCATGGGTAGGTTTTATATCTGGATGTGTTTATAACCTGAACCAATTTCTCAAGTTATTTCTTTAAAAGAATTGTAAATAGAATAAAGTACAAAGACAAATGTCTGCTTGGACATTTGCCCAACAGTTTTAAACTCTATAGTTGATTTAACTAGAAATAATATTTTGTGTGGTTGGAAACTACTATAAAATACATTAAAAATATAAAAGAAAATGCTCTCTGAACTATAATGGTAGTATTTACGTTTTATATAGCAAAATATTTCACATGCATTTTTTTTCTTTGATCCACAAAAAAAAACAAACCCTGTTTTACACGTAGTGTTTGTTCCAAGTTTCTTTTATGGGGACCATTCCACAAGGACTGCCTTCATAATCATTTTCAGATATCAAAAACCCATAAGTATGCATATTTGCCTCTTTCTATGAGCTCAAATTAATTGATATTATGAGATCATCTCTGAATTGAGAAAAAATCTTATAGGTAACCCTTACAAGTTAAGGTGACACCTTAAAGTGTTTCAGTATCTGCAGGCACTCACTTTGACTAGAGAAGGCACAGGTATTAATTCAGCCCCTAACACAGAGAGTGGCTCATCTAATGGTCTATCATCCTGTTAATTTCATTTATTCTACTTCTATTCTAAATTATACTAAATGTCTCATGTGACTTTAGAAATAAATTTAAATTTTATTTCATGTCAAAGCAATAAAGAATTTGCTTCTTAGAAAACTAAGAAAATGGATGCACTTAAGATTTATTTGAATCAATATTTAAACTCTTAGCAGAATCTTTACTAATAGAGACAATAAGGAAGAAAGATTTGTTATGTAAATATGGGGTTGGGGGTTCAAGAGAACAAAAATAAAAATAAACTAGTGCAAGCTCCAAGGGAATTAAACATGTTTTAGATGTAGTGTCCCATAAGTAGTGTTGCAACAGAGCTTAGAAAGTATGGAGTAAGTACTCTAGCAAGGAATTCCCTTACTTCTTATGATGTCCGTTCATCAGTCATGGATTATTGCAATGGTTTCATAACTTGAGTGTCTCTTTCAAGTAAATTAGTTGATATAATAATTGTGCGATAAGTAAGCTTAGGTCTAGGGATGATATTGATGATTATATAGGAGAGGAAATGAAACAGGCAATGATGGCAAAATGTTTCTTTTATGTAAGGATATGAGTATAGATGCTAAAATATAAAGAATGACTAATAATCCATGGTCCTCTGTAGTCAGAAAGATGACTAAAAATAAGTTCCTCTTATCTACTTTTCAATTCTACTTCTTTAGGAAGAGATTTTTAAAGTATCGTATACTTAAATCAGCTTATTTATAAAATCAGAAACCAAAAATATCATTTATCTGGGACCTCATACACTTTATGAATAGCCCTATCTGAAATACCACATCTGCCCATAAAATAAGATATCTTTTCATGATTTTTAGAGTCACATTGGGTCTTATGTTTTGGTGGTGCCCCATTTCTTTTTGCCTTATTTTGGCATAATAAGTTATTTTTTACTTATCTGCTTGGGAGATTTGTCTTAAATTTGTCAATTTGTAGACTCCTTTTATCTTTCAGATTGTTGTCTGTTTAGACTCTGATGCTAGGAATTCTATCATATCAAGCTCTGTATTTTCTGTTCTTGAACGAGTTTTGTATTTGATGTTTAAGTGTCTCACCCATCATCTTAACCCTATGTTCAGGCATTATCTCCCCTTTATCATTTTACTTCTTGATTTTACTATGATCCTGAAACATCTTTTACCAATTCATATTATCTTGAATTGCAATAGCTATAGAATCATATTTCTATTATGTTATAATTTCACTATAATTGTCAATGATGAAATATAAAGGGTATTTAAGAATAGTCACCATTATGGAAAACGCTTTACTATTTTCATTTTTCTATTGATGATCCTTTCATTATTTCATCTTCCCATTAATTAATTGATGCATTCTGGTTTTGTGTTGCTTTATCTATGGATATTTCACTATCAAATTTCTTTTTATTTAAAAAATATTGTTTTCAGTTTTTTATTAGTGAAGGTACAGTTGTAGATTTACAATTTTTTGTGCTTGGGTTTCAGTTATACAATGATCGAATACCCATCCCTCCACCAGTGCCCATTCTCTACCACCACTGATCCCAGTATCCCTCCCACCCCCCGTCCTCCCCATCCCACCCTGCCTCTGTGGCAGAGCATTCCCTTTTGTTCTCTCTCTCTCCTTTTGGGTGCTGTGGTTTGCAAAAGAGTCATTGAGTGGCAATCATGTTCGGTCTAAAATTTACTCTCAGCACGCATCTCCCATCCTGAGAGGATCCTCCCAAGACCCTTATTTGGTCCTCCCTTCTCTATCTGAGTTGCCATTTCCACTAGTGTGTGTGGCTGGCATCCAAACCATGAAGTAAACCTCCTGGAACTTATCTCTGCTATTCTTGGGTGTTAGTCTCCTATTTTGTTACTTTATCTTCCCCAGATGAATGCAATCTTTCTATGTCTGTCCCTCTCTTTCTGACTCATTTCTCTTAGCATGATACTTTCCATGTAGTACCACTTTTATATAAATTTCATGACATCATCTTTTCTAACAGCTACATAGTACTCCATTGTGTGGATGTACCGAAGTTTCTTTAACCAGTAATCTGTTCTTGGGCATTCAGGTTTTTTCCAGATTCTAGCTATTGTAAACAGTGCTGCAATGAACAAACAAGTGCAGACGTCGTTGAATCAGTGTGAGATAGACCCTTACAAAGCTGTTCATGATTGTGTCTCAGTCATACAGTGTTCCAACACCCAAGCCTTCAGTAGTGTACATTTCTCAGCACCAGTGTCCCCAGTTTTTCTCCCATTGTCCCCCCTCACCAGCCCCCCTCACCAGCCCTAAGCCACCCCTTACTGGTGGCTAGATATCTTTCCTTTTGGACATTGTGGTTTGCAATACAGATACTGACAGGTTTTCAGGTATACTACTTTTAACATTAAGTTCTTGTCCAGGTTAATAACTTTCAGCTATTATTATCATACTGATCCCTTCTCTATTTTACCTACCCTCTGCCCCTTTCACTATTTGCTAACTACTGAGAAAATGATGCCAAAAATACTTACTTTGCTTCCTTCTTATTTGCTTGAAAGCATGAATGGTAATTTCAGTTCCCACAAATATATTTCTTAATATTTTCAACTGATGGCTTATATAAAATTTCAAGAATTAATTACCATCTTTTTTTTCCTTTTAGTATGATTGAGGCTAGCATAACAACTTTAAAAAAAACCTACTATGACCAACACTGTCCTCCCATTGTTCATCGATTTGCTCGAGCAGGCCCAGTAACGTCTCCATTGGAGACTTTGTTGTTACTGTGTTTGGCATATCGAATACATCATGGGTAGCTTGCCAGGCTTGCTGTGTGGGTGAGATACTCTCAGTAGCTTGCCAGGCTCTCCGAGAGGGGCGGAGGAATCGGAACCGGGTCGGCCACGTGCCATGCATTTAATTAATGATGACTTTCTAATAAAATTTCACTAGAATTTGAACTCTATGACTCTTACGGGTAATGATCTTTTTTTCAGTCCCCACCACACTAAACTCACAGCAGCTAATGTTATCATTTTGAAGATCAGTGGACCACATCAAGGGGGATATATGTGAATCTTAATCTACGAGGCGTAAGATATGACTTTGTAAGCCAGGTATGCGGGACTTTCTGACTGAGAACTCTGGGTTCAACAGGAACAGGAACAGAGATCCTCTGTCCATATCCCCCACCTCCCACCCCCACCCCCACCCCTGTCTCCAGCAACTCAGCAGTCACACCCATAAGCCACCCCTTACTGGTGCTAGATAATATCATCATTGGCCACCATCTAGATCACACGTCCTTCTCTCCTTTGAAGGGAACAACATGACGCTTGCCATAACCCATGCCAGGCTGTTTCACTCCAGGTGCCCCAAAGGGGGGGGGCGGGTAAACCCCCTCCCAGCCCTAAGGGGTCAAGCCCCGGCAGCCAAAAACCTCCATAACTCAACTGCTGCCCTGCTCATAGCTGCTCTCCATATGCTTCTGCCAAGCCTCACCCACAAGTGAACCTTTCCCTGGACACTTCATACCACACCCCCCCCATACTCCACATTTGATGGGATTCAAAGTAGGAGGCAATCAACCTTAGAGAGAAGTATTACATTATATTATTTTGGTTTGCTTTGGGGCAGGGATCTTGGTTTGGGATGGAAACACCCAACATATGGTGGTGGGAAGGTGTAATGATGATGGGATTGGTGTTCGAATATTAAATGTAATCAAATATCGTGAACTACTTTATAAAATTTAAAAAATTTAAAACAAAAGATTTGACTTTGTTTCCCTGACTGTATTACTTTTATAACTTGGTCACTTAAAACAAATGAATAAATTTAGATGAAAGCAATTAGAAAATTAAAGGACAAGTGACATTTGAAAAGTATACATAAATGTTGAAAAATGCAGTTATTACTTTGATATAAGAAGTAATAATTTAGGTACTGGTATCAAATTATCCTTCCACCTAGTTGTCATGTAGTCTTCTACAATTTGTTAAAATAACATAGAAAATAAATTTTAGTAAAATATAAAAAGGCACAGAAGTTCATCTTCATTCAAGTGTTGGTTTATCCTTCAGTGAACTCATATATTTATGAAAATTTTTTGCTGCTTTAAACAAAATAAATTCTGTTCTTATTTTATATTTTTTATAGATTTAAGATCTGAGAAACTATGTTCATATACTAAGTAAGAAGAAATGCAATGAATTTTTAAGTTTTCTTAGGGCACTGTCACTCAATTTTTTAAATTCCATGGTTTATGCCAAAAGCTACACAGTGATGTTTTATCATAAGTATTTTATTATGTATTCATTGGCAATTTATAATGGCTTTCCACAATGTTCTTAAAAGTAAAAAACTGAAAACCACCAGCCTTGTAGAAATGATTTACTATTTCACAGAGATACTTACTGAACCATCTGTCTCAACCCTGTCAAAATGATCTTGCTAAGAGTGACAAAGGTTTTGATACCCACAGGTATTTACAAAGCTAATGTTTTTTTTTTAATTTTTAACATATTTTATTTTTATAAAGTTGTTCACAATAGTTTATTACAGATCATATTCAAACACAATCCCACAACCGTGTACCTTCCCACCCACTATAAGAGGAAGGTGTGTGAAGATTGTATTTCATACTGGAGTCATGTAACCCCTAGTATAAGAGATTACAAGCAGCACTCCAGAACGTTTGGTGTCAATCTCTGGATCTTGGCTGTTGATGAGATTATATGGTGCCAAGGGCAGTTTGTGTGTGTTACTGCCAAGCTACTGGAAAACTGGGCAGCTGCGGGGAGGAAATGCAATCCCATTCTGAGCGAGCTTGAAGATCTCAGACACAGGTCCTGCATACCTGGGTTTTTCTGCAGGTTCCTTCATAGGTGAGGTTCATTCGAGCTTGTGGACACCAATCTTGACTATGACTGCAGTTGTGTTCTGGAGGTTTTTGGCTGCTGGGGTTCTTACAAAGCTAATGTTTAAAATTGTAAGAAGCATTGCTTTATTTTGAAAAATGGGAAGACAGGGCTTTCAAAGGGAATATTGTTTTTTTTAAAAAAATATTTATTTATTTTACTTAATCACCATAAGATACACTGTCGCAAAGTTAAAAGTTGTTCATGATTGCGTTTCAGTCATACAACGTTCCAACAACCCATCCTTTCACCAGTGTACATTTCCACCACCAATGTTCCCGGTTTCTCTCCTACCACCCACCCTCCAAGTTTCCTCAAGCACACTTTTCTTCTTCTCTTTGGTCCTCTCCTTTTCCCTCTCTCACTTCCCCTCTCCCCCCTTCTTTGGGGCATTGTAGTTTGAATACAGGTACTGAAAATGTTCTTGTTGTACATATCCCTTTATCTCCTTTCAGCATTTAGTTCTTAACCAAAGTTATCATTTCCAACTCCCATTATCATAGTGGTTCCTTCACTATCCTAACTTTCCCCACCACTTGTGGGGTTTTTACTGTGGACCAATCCTCCTGGCCCTCTTTCTTGGATATTAGTCTTGAATATTAGTCCTTGGATATTATTCTCATACCATGTTTTTTTTAATAACCACAAATGAGTTCAATCATTCTACATCAGTCCCTCGCCTTATGACTCATTTCACTCTCCATGATACTCTCAAACTACAGAGGAGTTCTCAGAAAAATGCTTTAGAGTAAAAGCATCTAGGAGTAAGTGTTGAAAACTTAGTAATGGATTCCTTTAAAGTAAGGTAAAGGTAAAGGTAAGGTAAAGGCCCTCCCGTTGATCGTCGATTTGCTCGAGCGGGCCCAGTAACGTCTCCATTGGAGACTTTGTTGTTACTGTGTCTGGCATATCGAACACTCTTGGTAGCTTGCCGGGCTCTCCGAGAGGGGCGGAGGAATCGAACTTGGGTCGGCCATGTTGGCCGCGTGTAAGGCGAATGCTCTACCCGCTGTAATTCCCTTAAAATTCCCATTATTGTCTTCTTATCACATGAAAAGTTTTGTGTACCCCGAGATGGTGCTCACTTGTCAAATAAAATTACTTTTAAAAATATCTAAATATAGGGGGTATGGTGCTGCCAGCAGGTCAACCTATACCTGTGGGGCGAGTGCATCAGCAGCCGGATGGTGCCTTTAGACTTCCAGATACCCTCAAATTGCTTCTGTTCCTTTAGCCAGACCCCAACAACTTGGGGCCAAGTTTACAAATAAATTAAATGGCCAAAAGTTAGGGATGTGGGAGAAACACCCACAAACCACCTCCAGCTCAGCTCTATAAGTACAAAATAAGGAGGGGAAGGGTTGGAATGAGGATGGTGGGTGGCGGTAATAGTGGGGATTTTGGTGGTGGAAAACGTGCACTGATGAAGGGATGGGTGTTTGATGATGGTATGACTGAAGCTCAAACATAAAAGCTTTGTAACTGTATCTCACAGTGAATCCATAAAAGGGGGAAAAGAATAGTAAAATAAAATTAGCATTCAGAATCGAACAAAAAAAAAGTAATATGGATATCTACCACAGTCAAGATCACACAGCTGCTTCTCTCGAAAGGAAGCATAATATGAGGCCCTCATAATTACGCCACCGGACTCCACGCCAGGTTGTTTCACAAGGAGTTCCTCAGAGGGGATCGGGTGAGAGCCCTCGCCACCCCAAAGTACTCAGCTCCAGCAGCCAAAAACCTCCACAACCCAACCGCAACCAGGCTCAAGGCCGCTCCCCACATGCTCAGGTCAAGCCTCATATATGAGTAAACGTATTCCTGGACACATCATAAGACACTCTGTACCCATTCTCCATAATTACCACACCACATTTAATGGGGTTCAGATCGTAGGCAACAAATCATAGAGGGGAATGTGTGTGTGTGTATTACATATTTTCAGATATATATACACCAAAGTTCACATCACCCAAACTTTAACAACATGTGTTAGTGTTATCCTATAGAGTGTCTTAATGGCTCCTGCCAAAATAGATCAATCTTCATACTGTTTCCTATATGAACACTTTTTTGTAAGCATGTTCAGCAGTTTTTTCATAACAGACAATATGAAATATATTATTTCAGTTGTATTTTGGGACAGGGATTGGAGCATGAGATGGAGACATCCCGAATTTGGTGATGGGAAGGTGTAATGGTGGTGGGATTGGTGTTTGAATGTAATCGAACGTTGTGTACTAACTTATAAAATTTTAAAATTTTAAAAATTTTAAAAAAGAGGAAAAAATCTCTAAAACTAGTGATGAATATTTAATTTTGGGGGTGATATTTTGTTTTGTTATTTGTTTTGATGTTATACCCAGCGCTGCTCAGGGTTTACTCCTGGCTGTACACTCAGGAATTACTCCTGGCTGTGCTTGAGGAACCATGTCGGCTGCCAGGTATCAAACTTGTGCGCAAATCAAATCCCCAACCTTGCTCCAGCCACCAAAAATCAATAATTAATACTGAGAGCAGTATATAAATCCCTAAAAAATGTAATGTTTAGAAAGTATATAATAAAACACTATATGGAACAATCAACATTATTTTCTTTAATTTATATTCATGTATTTATGTATGTATTTATAGTTTAGAATTATTTTATGGTTCTTTATTTCTTTACATATTGTTTTTGTCTCTTTTAAGGAAAAGAACATCATTCTTATTCTATTTTTTAGAATAAGATAGATGAAAAATAGCTGCT